GTCTGCGGCTTTGCGGCATCGAATTGAACTGAAACACGGAGCGGGGATGAAGAAGTCAGTTACTAGTTTTTGCTGAGAGACAAGATGGAGTCGGGGGTGTGGAGGCGACTTCCTGGGGGAATGTCACCAACGGCGGCGGATTTTCCTCCTGCTGCATTTTAATTCGTATTTTGATGCCAGCGTTTTTGTTTCTTCCGTCAGAAGTGCTTCACGTGAAACTGCCTATTTTGGGGGGTCTGGTAGAACTAACAGGATTTGCCGTCCCGAGGAGCGGACGGTTTCTGCTGTGACCTACTGCCCTCTGCTGGCCACGTCCGTTGTGCTTTCCCAGTGGCTCAGCGGGTTTAAGGAGGTCGGATATTTAAAGAAATACATTCGACTTTTTTTTTTAACTCTTTATGGGCAAACCTAAAAAAACATATCCAGGCTGTTACCACATTTAAAATGATAAATAGACTGAAGAATGTGATCTCTTAACCCTGCTGTATCCTCCTAAAAGTATAGTGGACATTTTTTTTTTTTTTTAAAGATTTTTATTTATTTGACAGAGACACAGCGACAGAGGGAACACAAGCAGGGGGAGTGGGAGAGGGAGAAGCAGGCTTCCCGCGGAGCAGGGAGCCCGATGCGGGGCTCGATCCCAGGACCCGGGGATCATGACCCGAGCCGAAGGCAGATGCTTAACGACTGAGCCCCCCAGGCGCCCCTATAGTGGACATTTTATTTTAGACTAAAACCAGAGTTTGGCTCCCGGGTATTATCTTTCTGCTCTAATGTACCGAAGACTATTCTTATGAGACTAGAAGTTCCCGGGCTAATTTTTATTTATAAAGACTAAGTCACATAACTTTCCAAAATATTAGGCTCTACCAGTAATCCATGATGTGGAAAGAGAATATCTAAGTCCAAAATAAAAGGGTGCCATGAATAATGCAGAGAAATGTCTTCAAAGCCCACACAAGACTTTGCACGGCACACTTGAGAGACAGCTTCTAAATACTAGGTTATGTAGAATTGCTCACTAGCAACAAGCACCGAACCATTTCATGCTTTGTAATAACTTAAAACAAAAGTTCATAAACGATGCAGTAGATTCATGCTTATTCGTCAAAGCAACTGTGATCAAATGAGAGTTAGTGACAAAGTCTGGATTGGAATTAATTGTCTCAAAATCCCCAGCCTACTGCTTTGTCTACAGAGCAACGTTCTGCCTTTAATAGAAATTAGGAGAAAGAATTTGGTGTGTCACACACTTCATTGCAAAACCAAGGTTCAGTGGTAAATTCTAATTAAAGTCATTTTATTATTAAAAAAACCCCCATAAACTTTAAAGCATCTTTAGAAAGGGAAGCTACTATGGTATGGCAATGGATTGATCATTGTTGATTTAGCTGAGGTCTGTTTTAGAGTTAGTTATGTTCTGTTGTTCATAATTATTTGGGGTTTTGGAGGATCTCTTGTGGCTTTTCCTCGGGTTCTTTAGAAAGAGCTGAGTTGCACACATTTCCATTTGGTTCTGGTTGAGTAAACTTCTTCAGTGTATTGGGGTGTCACATCACTTCCTGGATGAACAGTTGGTTGCTGAGAGCAGGTTTATTTAAAGCAAGAAACTCCTTTAAATAAGTCTTTGGTCACGCTGTCGAGGGGCTTGTTAATGCGCCGTGAGCACCCACTATACAAGCGTGGGGATGTTTGTAAAAGGCTCTCTGGTTTTCTGATGATGTAGGTCTTAACGAAGTCCTTTTTGTACATCTAAGACTTTATGTTCATTTTATTATACACAGTCTTAATTTGAGTCTGAAAAGGAGAGCTCCAGGGCAGACATAAAATTAACTTCTCTTTCAATGTCCTAACCTTTTGGTTTTAATTTATTCACTTGTCAATCTTATGAATGCCTCATGAACTCCAGCCATTGATTTCCGGGGCCAATGCTATCTTTCCTGTTTATTATAATATATTGTCCCATTGTTGCTGGCCGTTTGCACTCAGTTAAATTTCCCACACAGCGGACAGGAAACCGTTCCATGGCATCAGACTTCCTTGGATTGATTTTCACAGAGGCAGGGAGGGACCTGCCCACTTCTGGCCCCAGTAAACGGCCTGTAGGCCTGTATGGACACTTCCTTCCAGGCACCCAGAGCAGACGGCCGGCCTGGGCAGGCCGTCCCCTGCAGTCCCATGCAGCTCCTGGGAAAAGCCTCTTATCAGCACCGAAGATTATGTCATTTCTTTTTACATATGATGTTTATTGTCTTTAGAGCCCGCTCTGTGGGAATGTTCTTTTCAAGGGCGACAATGGGGAACCACAGAACAAACCTGGTGAAATCACTCAGGCCTGGAGCGACAGGCCTTCTAGGCGCTTTATAATTAGAAAACAAGATGCTCGGCCACAATACAAACGATGTTTTTACACTCGCTGGCTACTGAATTATTTATTAATAAAAAGCTTTATCACCAGTGTATTATCCGCCATCCTAAATGTAGTTATAAAAGACACTGAGAACCCGTTTGGGATGAACCAGACGACCTAAAGGGCTCTTTTTTTTTTTTTTTTTTTTAAGTCAATATTTATGTTACTATTTTGAATTTCACTAAACACTCCAAAGCTTTTCTGGGCAAATGTCAGCATGTATCCCAGCGAGTTGGGATTTAAGAGACACCTGCCATACATAGACTCAGCTCTTAGTTTGGAATACTTGTAAACTCAACAAGTTGTCTTAGCCAACACATACGGGTGTTTGGTACCTTAAAGAAGTAGATTGTCACAATGGCTGATTTGCTGACATTTGTGCCATCAAAGTCAAATATTTAAACACCTTTTTGTAAATTTGCCTTTCTAGCAACTCATTTGCCTTTTGGGGACTAGTTTATTGCAAAAGATGACACAAAATGTAATAGATAACTTTCTAAAAAGCAGGTGCCATCCTTTGAACATGCTGATGAATCCTGTTCCCTCCAGAGCTCATTCTCATTAGAACACCCCCGCCGCCCCCCCGACACACGCAGGAGATAAATATATAAATAGAAACCAGTTTCACAACCATAGCTGCAATCCCATGGAAGAACCTATATGTAGAACACACTTTGGGTTTCTTTCCTTCTCCCCCCACCCACCCAAGTGTCGAAGATTTCAGAGGTCATAGGGGGAAAGAGGTAAAATGTACTTGGACTTTACCAGGGGAACTCCAAAACAGCTCAATCTATTGGAGGGGGGTGTGGCGGGGTGGGGGGAGTGGGGTGAGGAGGGGCTCAATTTCCATTTCAGTGTTTTAATTGTTTGGGATGAATCAGTTCCCTCTGTGAAAATCGGTGGCCAATTTATAGATGTATTGAGTGAGGTAATAATGGTTTTGATCAATTGAAAATGAAATCTTGTTCATTTGCATCAGCAATGGGCAGGACTTGTAGGGTTTGACCAAGTTTCATTAAATCATTTCCAAGGTTTAGACTTAGTTGAATGGGCCAAGTGACAGCTAGGTTCTCAGACGAAGTAAGTTATAGACATACACGTTTCTATTTTACCGATTTGGAAAGTGAAAGTCACAGGTATCTTGTGCGCAACTGAATCCCATGTATATCTCTGGATGGGAGGCAAGCCCTTCTTTTTACCTGTTTGTTCAATTGTACTCTTTTCCTGTTGGGGGTGTGGGGGGGTTCTTTTATAGTGAATAAACATGAGGAATCAAAAGGAGAGGACCAGATAATTTAATTTTACATAAATTTATTTAGGAATAAAATAAAATATGCCATACCATATTTTACATAAATAGATATAGGAAAATGGCCCAACCCCTAGGTAAGTAGAATACATATTGGGAGAATTTTTCTCCCTCTAGTAAAGTGACTGATATTGTAGTTTATAAATTCGACCCAATTAATAGTAGAGACAGGCAAGCCATGCAGAAGGTGAGCTACCAGTTTAATTATGGATTTGTATTCCTTCTCTAATGGATATACTTGGTGTCATACTTCTTGTGTGCTTTCTTCTTAAACCATAGTTTCAATCTCTTATGGGCCTTGGGCAATATCAATAGATTATGTGTTTTGGATCCAAGTATTTTTGCTCACAAATTTCCCTACATGGTGATTGAAAAAAATCCCAGACTTAAGGCTACAAAAAATATGTCGAACTACCTTCAAGAAAAACACTCCCTTTCTCCTGGGGGCAAGCATAAGCTAGTGGGTTTCTCTGTGCTCTAACTTTAGAGTCAGGGGTTGATCCAGGGAAGACTGGGAAACAAATTCGTGAGGAACAAAGTCTACTGAAGAGCCGGGGTAAGGGATATACGCATAGTTAACGAAGTGTTCATTTTGCAGGAGCAACCTAGGAATACCCTAAAACTTCTGGCTTGAGTGATTGGCTTGTTGAGAGTACTAATATTTAAGATTGGGAGACTATTCAGGGGTACCAGTTTCGGTTGGGAAGTTGAGGAGATCACAGGCCCGGTTTAGGATGTGTTGGGTAACACAGGTGGCCAGCCTATGACACACCCGGATATTTGTATCCAGAAGGTGATGGTTCTGAGCACAGAGAGAAAGGGACAGGGCAAGGTTGTGAATGTCGGTCTGCACGCATCACAAAACCTTGAGAATATCAAGATCACCCAGGACGATGAGAGAAGGGAGACTAGCGGGCCAAGGAAATAACCCAGGGGACACCCGTGTTGAGGGTATGGCGAGGAGGACCCCAACATGAGGTAGAAAAACATTATGTGGAAGAAGGATCATAAAGGAATAATGTCATGGTCATAACTGTGCCCATGAATCCTTCTACAATCTTTGCACAGGGAGCATTTGTCATAGACCAGTGTCTGTTTATCTGGAAACTTCATCAGGAGTTGATAAACTCTGGCAAGGAGAGTGTGGGGTTATGAGGCTCCATCCACATATTCTCTACAGATAATTTATATAAATTGTATCATGAGGAGGAACTATCATCATAGGAATGTTTTCACTCTATATCAATTGGTTGGGCTTTGGGAATTTTTTTTTTTTTTTTTTTTTGGAAACTCTGATTGGTTTGGTTAAATGATTCATAAATAGGGCAGCACCCCACGGAGCAACTAGAGGGAAACTCCCCTTGAAAATGGTTTTTATGCTTTGTATTTCATACTATTTTTGTTAAAGTAGGGAGGAAACGCCCTTCTCAGGGTCCCAGAGGACACAGAAGAGATTGCAACACCATCGCAACATTGTGAATCATCTTCAGAATGAGATAGGGAGGCAGGTCACCCCACAAGGGGAGAACATCCATCAGGCTATGTTCACGGAGACCGTGGATGAATTTCTTTTCTTAGGTGGCTTTTTCTCTCTATCTAAATTGTGAAATGGCTTAAGGACATTCCCAGCAAAGGGCAGAGAAAGCTGTATTTCTAGGAAATAGAATTTGTTAAAAGTCAAACAGACAAAAAAAAAAAAAAAATCTTCCAATTGAGGTCTGTCTCTGAAGTTTTAAAAATCCACCCATCGGTGCCGTAATTAAAACAACAACAACAACAACAACTACTGAATACATGTGTACTTTGGAAAGGAGACTGACATGTGGCCAAGGACAGTTCTGAAATACCGAGTGATTGTGGCGACCCAGGAAGATGAGGGCTGGAGGGTGCCTGGGAGCTCCGACAAGAACGACGACTTTGCCAGAGTCATTTCTGTCGGGTTGAAGAGGCAGATGGTCCTTGCTACAAACATGCATGGGAGGTGAGGAAGATGTCACTTTTATCACTTTCGAGCAACTTGGCTGAGAAAGGAATGAAAGCTAAAGGTGGGAGGGAGCTAGGAAGCGACTAGGAGTCAGAGTGACTCTGTTTTATTTTATTTTGTGAAGTAAAGGGGGTTGCTTAGAAGTTAGGGAGAGGGGCAAGGGAGGGAAGGAGGCTGGGAGAGAGATACCAGGAGGGTGTAAGGACACGTGAGCAAGGGAATGGGGACAAGATGAGCCTTTTCTCTTCTCACTCCTCACTATGGGATCTTAATAAGCACGATCCCCACCCTCTGTGACTCTCTCACCTGCTCATCTCTCATCCGAGTTCCAAAGGACACCACCACCAGGATGCCTCCTCTTGAAACTATGGCTCCTTGCTCCTCACTAACACTATGGAAGAGATACCTGGGCTTGATGAGTGATAGAAGACTTTCTTGGATCTGTGTCCCCTGGCTTTTCCTTTGCAATTGCCCTGTAACTTCTCCCCCTTCCTTTGGTCCCATGCACATAGGCTGCCAGAACCATTTTTCTAGAACACATTTAATTTTCTTGGTCTAAAATTCTGTAACGATTCTCCGTCAATTCCATTTGGATAAACTCCAAGCTCCTTAGCTTGGGAGATGAGACAAGGCACACCACACGAGTGCCCTTGCGAATCTGGTCCTCCCCTTCTTCATGTGTATCTAATGCCTGCTCACACCAACCTGTAGCTCGTTAACCACACGCATGGCCCTGGAGAGTGTCTGCCTGGGTCCAGCCTCTCATTCACCACTTCGGGGTTTTGTAAACTTGGGCAGATTACTGTCCATGTCGCCAGGCTTTCTTATCTGTCCAGTGGGGGCAAGTAGCACTTACCTTATTGGGTTGTTGGCAGGATTAAATAAAGCACTAGAAAAAGCCCTTTGAACAGGCTTGGGCTCAGAAGACACATTCCAGTTTAGCTGTCCTTATCAGTGTTTCTTCCCTCCTTTCTGTCTGCCCACAGGGTCCTCCCACAGTCCTTCCAGTGCAAAATTCCTGTCTTCTCAAGATTCAGTCTAAAGGCTAACCCTTCTGCCAGGCTCTCCCAAATGTCCTCCCACCTGAGCCTGGCCCGCATTTGCTTCCATGTTCTACTTTTCTGCCCTGTTTTCTGAGAGCATCTATGGAGCCCCGTGCTAGCCCTCTGCCCAGTGGAATGAATCCCATGCCTGTCTCCACCAGGGAATTACAAAGCCTTTGCGAGAGCAAAGGTCGGGTCGTAGTCACTGCTGTACGTCCAGCACTTTATAAAAATGTTATCTTCTCATTAATCTTAATAAAATACAAATATTATCCTTCGATGGTTAATGTGTCTGTGTTTCAGATAGTATTATCCAGACAAATCGGAGATCAGACTCAAGTAGAGAGTTCATTTTGTGAGGTCGCTAGCATAACGTTGAAAGAAGAATTGTTGGAGCCAAAACAAAATAAAAAGTGTGGTGAATCCTAAAGACCGATAGCATGGTTGCTAAGAGAAAAAATGTTGCAATCAGAGAGGTCCACGTTTGAGCCTTTAATTTAACTTTGATAAAGTGGAAAATGGCACCATGTCTGGTGTGCATAGGGAATTTAAGAACGGAGGCTATAACTAGGAGTTTCTAACTCGAAATGCTCAACTTGGAGAGGTTGAGACAGTCAGCCTCCTGCACGGACTTACGATAACTTACACTATAGCGATTTCATCCACCTGTCACCCTTTTAACAAGCTGACAAATATTCAGACACTGCTCACCCCAACTAGTTCCCTCATCCCAAAATATTAAGGTTTCATATTCACTATTCGGTGTTCAAAAGAGATATCCTGAGCTTGAGTGATAATGCACAGCCAACAAGGGGAGCCTTCAGGGGAGCGTGGTGGACACAGTCAGGATACTTGCCCCTGTAGGGTTGTTTTCCATACTAGATTTTGTAAGGCAGCAAATAATCAGCACTGGCTTTTAACTAATACATAGAAATCTGCTCCCACCTGAGAATGCTTAGACGCTAAAAGTAGACCAAATTAAAACTTCTGTAAGATAAAACTCACAATAAATTTAACTAAAGTTTTCAACACTTAAAATTTGTTTGACATGAGGATATGATGGCAGGCTGTGGTGAGACCCCCTTGCAGGAGTGCTGTGATCTTCTTCCAGTTTGTTGCTAATTTCCCTTCAGTTTTATTTGGATCAGAGTCTTCTAGTTTCTTTCCCCCCAGGAGACACAGCTGGCCTCTCTGATGGTCGCCGGGGCCAACTGTCCCCTCCTGGCTGGACACCTCACTGGGATCGCCTCCATGTAGATTTCTAGGCATGATTCTTTCTGCATCCAACTCTGGTCCCTTGAAAATTGTGCAACTTTTTACATCCATCCTTATACATCCTTACCAGTTTTCCTTGGTTATGACCACCAGTGGTGCTATTAGTAATCTTCATTAGTATTTTTACCATTGTTATTTTATCTAAGGAATACGTTTTGAAAAAAGACAAATAGCTCTAATGAGAAACCCAGACCTTGAGGCTGCTGACCTAATTGTTTTTGTGGTTACCTGGATCATCTGTCACACTGTTACCACCAATGCATGAGTAATATTTCCTTACTTACCTATAATATTTCCTCTCTCAAATAGAATTCTTTTAAATATAAGTAGTGGGTAAAAACTTGGATTCTGACACAAATGATACACTAGTTTTGGAAGCGTGTCAGCAAGGTGTGAGTCTGCGACTGGGTTCTACCTAAAGGCTTAGGGAAATAGTCTTAGTATCATTAAGCACTTCCAGCCTGAAAATGAGAAAGCTGCCTTCAGCATCGACATCGTCCAACAAGGGCATACCCCACACGGGCATGTCACCGCATCTATGCGATCCCTGGAAATTGCTGCTTTTGGTAATATTCTTTATTGGTGTTGGTGACTCTGTGACGACAAGAAAAAGTTTTATTCCCTTCCTCCCTTTCTCTTCCTTTACCTTCATCAAATCCAGTTTGTCTGTGTTCCAAACTCTTCCTCCATTGTGTCTTCTGATTGTGGTATGTGAAAGCAAGACAAATTTCCTTTTGGAGAAGCTATGCCAATCTATTATTAGTCTTCAGTTACCCTCAACTAGTGTCTTCATTCACAACACATGTCCCATAAATTTGAATCAGAAATAGGAATAATCATAAATGTAATTGTTTATTTATCACTGTTCATGTACATGCAAATAAATGAAAGTACATGTGATTCTACAAGTGTGTATTTTACTTAATGAATTACATATCCAGTTAGAGTGCCATCACCAAGGTGGCCACATAGGTGGTTCCTGACTTTGCCTCCCTTCACGACACCAACGAGAGAATCCTAGAACACAGGGGCGAGGCTGAAGCACCCCCTGAACCTCAGGGACCAAGACATTGCATTGGAAGGGGAAGAGGAGAGGCTGTTTGTCAACCGCATTGCCCCTCCTCCAGGACAGCCCTGCACCACATGGAGAGGTCCCCCCTTGAGCCTCTGGTTCCTCCAGTAGGAAAAGAGAACCAGTGGGGAAAAGCAGCCCCTCCCCAGCATTATGGGTCACTTTGAGGGAACCTGTACTCAGATCTCCCACCACGGAGATTACAGGGGCATCTCAGGGGCCAGCCAGTTGGAATCTGACTGTGATGGGAAAGGAGGGAGGGGCTTGCAAGAACCTGTACGTGGTTCTTGGAAGACTGAGTTCACACCTGCAGGGCCCAAGTAGTAATCCCAACCAGCGGTTTTGCTCATCCGCAGAACCACGACAGGGATGCACATGAGAACTTGGCAGGGTGCAGATCTGCCTTATTTGGATCATCAAACAAAGAATTTTGCCAGCCCCAGTGCCTTGTTTGTCCATGTCCAGGCAAGGTGCTGAGTCATAGCGCCAGGTGCTATGGAGTGTGTCTTCCAGCCCCATCTGACCAGAAGGCTGGTGACAACTTCTGGAAGCTCTGTGACCCAAGGGTGCTCAAGCTGGGAGGCGGGTAGGTAGAGCTGATTGCCCCAGAGCAAAGTCAGTACTGGGTATAGACGCTTGCTGTGCAAGAGCTTTCTGAATTAGGTGGGCTAATTCACTGGTCCATGTACTCCTGAATATAATGTCCAGTCCTGATCATCTTGAAAGCCTGACCAGAGAATTCACACAACCATGGAGCCTATCCTATAGCCTCCCTTGGGTAGAGAACCAAGCCAAGAGTCCTATCCAATAGTCCTATCCAACTGTCCTCAACCGGCAGCACATGCTTGCATCCCCATCCTCAGAGTTCAAACAATTGAGTTACTTCAAATAGACCATAACAGCAGGCGCCACCTGCCCAAAGACATTACCATCAGAAACACCCAGAAACCCAAAGTGAACTGATGAGTAAAGAATTGTCTCTGCCAAAGCAAACCTGTAAAGTCTGAAAGAAGAGGCTCATTACGCAAATGCACAGATTCCAATGTAGGAATCAAGGATCATAAAAGTCAGGTAAATATGACACCAGCAAAGGAAACTAATAAAGTGCTAATAACTGACCCCCAAAAAATGATCTATAAACTGTCAGACAAAGAATTCAGAATAATCCTTTTAAGGAAGTTTAGTGAACTATAAGAAAACACAGAGAGACAACTAAATGAAATAGGAAAATAATGCATGAACAAAACAAGAAGTTTGACAAGGAAATAGCACCCATTAAACACTGCTGTCCTGAACAACCACTTGAAGAGTGGGAAACACTCCCAAACTCATTCTACAAAGCCAGCATTATCTTCATACCAAAACCAGAAAAGGATACTGCTAGAAAACTATAGGCCAATATCCTTGATGAATAGTGACAAAAAAAAATCCTCAGTAAAATACTATCATACCAAATTTGTAGCACATTTAAAGAATTATTCACTATGATCAAGTAGGATTTATCCCTGGGGTAAAAGGATGGTTCAACACAAAGCAATACACAAATCAATTAATGTGATACATCCCATTAATAGAACAGAATAAAAGAATCTTACAACTATCTCAATAGATGCAAAAAAAGAATTTGACAAAATTTATCAATGATTTAATTCATCAATGATTAATGATAAAAAGTCTTAACAGATTAGCCATAGAAGGAACATTTCTCAACACGATAAAGTTCATATATGACAAGCCTACGTAATAACTAATGGTGAAAGATTGAAAGCTTTTCCTCTAAGATCAGGAACGAGATAAGGGCACCTGTTCTCACCACTCATATTCAGTGTAGAACGGGAAGCCCCAGCCAAAGCAATCAGGCAAGAAAAAGAAATATAAGGTATCAGAATTAGAAAGGATGAAGTAAAATTGTCTATATTTGCAGATGACATAATTTACATACAGCTCAGTAAGTTAAGTATCTGCCTTTGGCTCAGGTCATGAGCCCAGGGTCCTCTCTCAAATAAATAAATAAAATCTTAAAAAAAAAAAAAAGAAAATCCTAAAGACTTTTAGAGCAAGCCAAAAAATTATCAGTTCTAATCCACAAATTCAGTACAGTTGTAGGATACAAAATTAATATACAAAAATCAGTAATGTTTCTATGTACTAGCAATAAAATTTCTGAAAAAGAACTAAAGAAATTGATCCCATTTACCATAGCATCAAAAGCAATAAAATACTTAGAATTAATTTAACTGAAGAGGTGAAAGATCTCTACACTGAAAGCCATAAGATAGTGAAAGAAATTGAAGAAGATACAAATAAATGGAAAGGCATTCTGTGTTCATGGACTGGAAGAATTAGTATCATTAAAATGTCAATAATACTAAAAGCCATCTATAGATTCAGTGCATTCCCTATTGAGATTCCAATGGCATATTTTACAAAAGTAGCAAAACACTCCTAAATTCTCTAGGGAACCACAAAAGGCCCCAAATATCCAAAGAAATCCTGAAAAAGAAGAACAATGCAGGAAGTAAGACATTTCCTGATTTCAAGCTATACTGTAAAGCTATAGTCATCAAAACAGTATGGTACTGGCATGAAAACAGACAAATGACCAATGTAACAGAATCAAGAGCCCAGAAATACACCCAAGCATGTATGGTCAACTGATATTTGATGTGGGCACCAAGAATGTTCATTGGAGAAAAGATAGTCTTTTCAATAAATGGTGCTGGGATGATGGGATATTCACCTGTAAAAGAGTGAAACTGGACCCATATCTTATGCCACTAATGAAAATTAATTCAAAATAAATTAGACTTAAATGTAAGACCAGAGACCGTGAAACTCCTAGAAGAAAACATAGGGCCAAAGCTCCTTGTCATGGGTCTTACTAATGAGTTTTTCAATATGACACTAAAGCAGAGCAACAAAATAAAAAA